AACACTCCAAAGAGAAAGGAAAAATTTAAATCGCATCATATGACCCCTTTAAATGCATGCAGTGTGAAACAATGTTATTTTAGTATCATTTATATACTGTGGTTAATATTTTGAATTAGATTTTTATATGATTATTTTATTAGATTTTTATATATTATTAATATTATTTTAATTATTATAATTTTTAATATAAAGTTTTAGTAATTTTGTTCTGTTTTTGTCATTTTAATTTGACAATGTAATATAATGTCTTTTTTATTAATTTCCTCATTTATTAGTTATTAGTTATTTTAGTACATAAAAAAAGTGAAACTAAATGAAAATGGGAAATGTTGCCTTGCCAGTTAGCTGAAAAAATATATATATATACTGTATTTACATTTATTTATATATTAACATTTGGGGTGGCCGGCGGCTTGAGTGAGCGACGGCGGGCGGACTTGCGGCAACCACATGTGACGACCCCGGGCTGGACTCCGCTTCGTTAGTAATTTTGTTCTGTTTTTGTCATTTTAATTTGACAATGTAATATAATGTCTTTTTTATTAATTTCCTCATTTATTAGTTATTAGTTATTTTAGTACATAAAAAAAGTGAAACTAAATGAAAATGGGAAATGTTGCCTTGCCAGTTAGCTGAAAAAATATATATATATACTGTATTTACATTTATTTATATATTAACATTTGGTTATTAACATTTAGTGGTATAGTTAACATTTATTGTATTTCAAGTAATCAAGTAATGAAAGTAATGTTAGAAATGTTTTTTTATAGTTTTGGTGAATTATAATACCCTTGGTATGAAACAGGCCTTGTGGGGAATTAAAAATCCAATTACAGTTTTTAGCCTGTGAAATTCAGTTAAATCAGCAAAATTCTGTTTGTTGAACTGGCATAAGATACTGACCCAGTCCCAGAGAGCGCTTTCCAGCATCCACTCTCACCTTTCCAGTCTAGAGAGAGACGCCCTCCCACGCTTTCCAAAGGCAGAGGTATGTTAACACTGCTTCCATTGCCATCAATACCACACTGTGTCCTTCACTGACAGGAAAGATCAATAGCAGCCGTACAGTAAAGTGGATGCAACATGCTGCTTAGCTACTGTGTTATTTCCCTTTTAGAAGTCACTCAGGGAGGTGCAGCAGATCCTCAACGCCACTGAGGGCAACTTCCACCAGCTGGTCGCACTTCTCAACTGTCGAGGGCTGAACAAGGTAACCATAGCAACCTGTTTTCCAGCTCAGCCTGACTGCGAGTGAGAGTAATACTGCAGTTGAGCTTGATGAGCAAACTGTCTCAATCTACTACTGTTTTCACGTCACTCTCTCAGGATTATGTGGACTCTCTGAAAGGCCTGTGCTATGATGGGATGGAGGGGTTGCTCTATCTTTCGCTGTACTCGTTTCTCTCGGCTTTGACGTTCACAGCTATTCTTTGCTCCCTCCCTGGAGCCTGGAGGAGTTTCCACAGGTGAGGTGAACTTCATCCCTCCACCCCGTCCAACATCCCATCTGCTGTTGTTTTCATGGCACAATATTCATGGTGTTAGTTATTCTGATTTGTTAAGATGAATGAGGTGCATAAAAAGTAGTGTTGCTTTTGGTTTAAATATTATTATATCATATTATATAATTTATATATCATGTGGTAATTATGTATTTATTTATTATTAAAAAAAATATATATAAATATAAAATATTTAAAACAAATTACATTTACATCGTTTGCAATTCTGTAAACATTCTTTTTCAGTATTTGGTATTTTCAACTTTTTTCTTTAATGCAGGGATTACTTGGGATGAGATTTTAAATTAATATTGTACACACATTTGCATGTTCGTGGTTCTCTGATGTCAGTTATTGGTCACATGACATGCAGGTAAACAAATAAAATATATATTATTTTGTAATAAATTCAGAAAAAAATATATAATACATTTTTTTTGTTTGTTTATTATAGTTTTTTTGTGTTTTATTTTGTTTATTTTTAAATTATTTATTTATTTATTTTAATTTAACTTTTATTATTTGAATAATAATAATTATTATTGTTTTTTTATTTAATTTTTTTACTAAGTGTTTCTATTTTGTTTATTTTTAAATTCTTTATTGATTTATTTTAATCATATATATATATATATAATTTTTTTTATTTTTTGAATATCCTAAAGTTTTTTTTTTGAACAGCAAATTTTTTATGTGGTCTCAGACTTTTGCTCTCCACTTATTTCTGATTGCAGAATGTGCATATGGCTTTAAATGCTTATTTTTTTTATACACAGGGAAATACCCAAGACAAGGCAATGTCATCTTAATATATATCAAATTGCTATCTAGGATGTATCTCTAACATGAATAATAAGATGCTCACTGGGAACCTGAAAATTTCTGATTTTTAATGCAAATAATTCCATCCTCAACAACAAAAGCAGCCGGATGTTAATGGAGGTGGGCTGCTCGGTCTGGGTCGACTCAACTCCACTACAGTTTGTCATAAATGGGCCTGTGGTAACAGAGTAAACACTGACAACCGCACTCATCAGCAATGCACAGATGAGAGAAATATGATCTCAACTTAAGGGCATTAGTGCTTAAAAGCACTTCACTCCTTTTATCTGGATATGGTATTAATGTCACTATAACCATTAGTTTAGAAAGCTCAGTCACTTACTATTGTTTCAGCCCGACTTGGTACACTCCCTCCAAGTGTCTGATGCTGGCAAATCCAATTTGTATTTTTAAGTATCAGAGGTAGCTGCAGTGCTTAGTTGCAGCAAAATTGTGTTCAGAGCACAAACTCCATTTAGATAGCAGATGCATAGATTACTGAAATGGCAAAGAGGAGCGAGACAGATTAAAGGATTACTTCTAGACTGGGATTATTTGATTTCATGACAATATCTACATGTATATAGTTAAGAGAGATTTTTCAATAAATGTCTTTAAAGCCTTTGTTTTGCACATAACATATAGCAGATCAAACGTATACTTATTTCATGACGTATTTTTCACTTTCTTTGTTGCATAATTCTCATTGGATGGCATAGCGATTCAGAGGAATACGAGGACTCCGACAGCGAACTTGTAATAAATTACATTTTAACTTATATTTTTAAATAGAAAAAGATTAATAATTCACGATATTACTGTTTTTACTGTATGTTTGGTCAAATAAATGCAGCATTTATCGTTGAGACTTCTTTAAAGGGGTCATGTGATGCGATTTCAATTTTTCCTTTCTCTTTGGAGTGTTATTTTGTTTTGTACCATTCATTAAAGAATCCTGATAAAAAATGCATCATGGTTTCCACAAAAATATGAAGCAGCACAACTGGAATGGTAGTGTACATTTTTAAACATTAAATAAACAATATAAAATATGTATGTTATTTGTCAGTTTTGTACATTTTTTATTTTTTAATTCATAAATTGATGACATTTCTTTTTTAAGTGGCACTTCTAGTCTTCCTTATAAGTTTAGGTATTAGAAATTCACAGATTCTTGTTCTTTTCTTGAGTAGCTGTGCATCAAGGTTGCACTTAATATAAAACATAAAACACATTTATAGGCTCATATACATAAACATGCAGAAACAAGTGTCATGCATACGCAGGCAAACACATAAAGCTCCAGTCATACACAGACAGCTAGACAGGCAGGTGTTAGATAGATGGAGCGCACAGACAGACAGACAGACAGACAGACAGACAGACAAACAAACACATGCACACACAGACAGACACACAGACAGGTCTACATGTCAAGCACAGTCTAGCCAAAAAACAGACATGAGTCCAGAGGTCTGTCTGTCTGTGTGTCTGTCTATCGGTCTGTCCGTCATTGCAAGACAGACATAGATCCTCCAATCAGAGATGATGCACAATATAGGTAAAGTCCCACCCCCTCCCATATTTCTGTCCACTGTCAAAAATCATGCTGTCCAAACTACATCACTCTTTCAAATCTATTGCAGTCTGCCTTGCTGTTTCTTTCTCCTTGCTTTTTAACATTCCCTGTTTCTCTCTCTCTCTCTCTCTCAATTATTATGTTTTGAAAGATCATATTTGCTGTTTTCATAAAATTAGATCTGACATCAACACTTCTTCTCACTTCATTCACATTTCCATGTGCTTTAAATTCTATATTCTAAATTTAGATATATTACAAATTCCCTGAATTCATTCCTCAATTTAAATATATTTTTGTGTCCTTTTGGAAAAAGAGCTAAAGATTCTGATAGTGAAAATGTCACATCTCTCTAACTCTCTTCCACCTTTTCTCTTCCTGTTTCCACCCTGGATCCTGGCTCTCATCCTTCCCTGTGTCCCTTTGGTGTGGCATGTCATTCTTGCGTCTCTCCATGGTCCCCTTCTCCTGGTTCCTCTCTGCGCCTCTCTCTTTCTCTATGCAGGACTCCAAACGTTTCCTCCAATGGCAACCCTGGTTATGAGAACCTGCCTTTGAGTGACAGGCAGTCCCCACCCCCCTCTGTGAGTTCCCTTGTCTTTGTCACATCTCTGCGATCTGTGGCATTCTCATGATTCATTGTGTTAAGATTCACACAGACTGACACACGGATCAGACTAAATGACCGTTCGCTAAGCCCCGCCTTAAAACGTTACTGACCAATCGCAATCCACCATGTTATCAGACAAACTTTTGCTATTTTTTAATATAATCCTATAGAAGTCCTATTTGTTTAGATGATGTTTAGTGGAATGTGTTCACTACTGTGCAAAAGTTTTGGGTTGGTAAAATTTTTTTTTTTTTGTCTCTTATGCTCACCAAGGCTGCATTTATTTGATCAAAAAAAATACAGTAAGACTGTAATATGTTGAAATATTATTACAATGATCAATTTTAATATAATTTATTCCTGTGATGCAAAGCTGAATCTTCAGCATCATTACTCCAGTCTTCAGTGTCACATGATCCTTCACAAATCATTCTAATATGCTGATTTAGTGCTCAAGAAACATTTCTTGTTATTAACTATGTTGAAAACAGATGTGCTACTTAATATTTTTGTCAAAACCATAATACATCTTTTCAGGATTATTTAATGAATAAAAAGTTCAAGAGAACATCATTTATTTTAAATATAAATATTTCATAACATTATACATTTTTCATATGTCTACTGTCATTTTTAATCAATGTAATGCATCCTTCCTATAAAAGTATTATTTATAAAAAAAAAACAAAAACAAAAAACGTATTGACCCTAAACTTTTCAACAGTAGTATATGTTAGGACATAATATATTTTCATATTTTATATAAAAATATATTTTTTTTAAATAGCATTGTCATATTTCATGTAGAAACAATATCCATTTAATTGTAATCCCTTTAACACATTTTACCTTAAAAAAAAGTCTCCAGTTCATTCCAATGGGACATTCTGAAAAGCTTGCAGTAACTAAGGGGGCGGAGCTTAGTAAAGGGTATAAATATATATTGCGAGAGGACAACGGTAGGATACATACGATTTTTTAAATGTATATAAGTATGCACTTATGATTTAATCTTTAAATGAATATATACTTTTTTCTTTCCTTTATTCTCTCCTCCACTCGCGGATCCGGCTCCTCTTCGGACTCCTCTTCCGTGCGGTTTTCTGAAAGTACAGTACTCTCCCAGCATGCTGACTGGCTACGGCGGCAGTCAATCACACTCCAACCCGTCCCATTCAAGAAACCTGTACTCACACTAATTATTTTTCTGTACAGTAGAAAAGAAAGATATAGAGCAAGGTTTAGTTTTCATATGGATGGACACTTTATGAGACGAGAGACTAATTTAAAACTCTAGATGTTAAATATCTGTGTGTAACGTCAGTACCATTGAGTCATTTGGGTGTAACAGACAGAAAAAGCCGTGTGCGTCATATATAGTCGTCCGATCCTATCACTTCCTCTCCCTCTAGTGTCATGCTGTACATAGCTGGTGGAAACAAGATGGTATTGACGGTACAGTAGTGGTCTATTTTTAAATGTATAACCACTTTATTTTGGAGTTTTTATATTGTTACATGTAGTCACAGATACGTAGTGGCGATGGCACAATTTCTTTGTATGATTATGCAGTTTTTTCTTAACCTTTCTTTCTTTTTTTTTAAATATTTGACAGGACCCTATTTTATAAGTGGCAATTCTGTATTACCTTGTATGCCCTCTGATACAATATGATTATTTATGTCCGTTTCCTCTGCTGGCTCTGAGCAATACAACTGCGTTTTGCCATTTGCAATGCAATGGCCACAATGTAAGCAGCAATAATCATCGGGACATCTTGCAAACACCATCTGTGTCTGTGTGTCAGAGGTTCTCATGACATGTTCAGTATATACCGTCTATATATATATATATATATATATATATATATATATATGTATACATTTGAAATTGCATTGGTCCCTTCTCTTGGCTATCAACCTGTTGTTAATCCTTAAAAAATGAGTTTCTATGCTCCTTTTGAATGGCATCCTTTTTCACTACAGAGTCTAATATAAATGAAATAAAAATACAGTAACAAAAGTGGAATGTCTGAAAATGTTTTTATGTCTTTACAGCTGCTGATGCAAAACACTACAAGCATCCTGCTAAATAAACCTATACCTGGTTATTACCTGCAATAGGTGAGAAAGATTTTCCACTATAAAATGTTGTTTTTAATTACTTATTATATTAAATAATATGATTTAAATTATACATTCAATATTATTTAAACTATTTGACCTGTCTAACTATATGAAGCACAGCATGTTATTCTATGTATGCCCAGTACTGAATCAATTAATTGAAACAAATTTTCACAATTACAGCTTTTACCTATAAAATTCAGTAAAGATTTATGCAGAAGGGTTGTTAATGTTAACTAAAACTATTATTAATGGACACAAATCTGACAAAAAAAATTAATATTACAAAATGTTGACTTGGCAACTGAAATAAAAAAAAAATTTTAAGTACATAAATTATTAAAACTAAAAGATAAAAAAACAAAAAATAAAAAATATTAAATATTATTATTAAAATAATTACTAAAACCTAAACTGAAATCTGACTATAAAAATAAAACAAGCTCAAAAATGAATAAATACTGATAATAATAAAATAGAACTGTTATCCAGTCCCTTTTTTAGATTATACAGCTTCACATTCATGTATGTACAGTATATATATATATATATATTCTTTTTTTCCCCCCCCCCACTAAAACACTTCCATTTTTCCCACAAATTCAACCACAATACAGTAGATATCTGACAGCTATAGTGCAGTATAGTGTCTACAGGGGCACTTAGCTCATAATTAGGCCTAGGAAATTAGATTTAAAAAAATTAAAAAAACAGAATTAAAAGAATTTAATTAAATCCCACATTTATTTTATTAATTTTGGGCACTTTTTGTGGCATACTTGCCCAAAGTCATCAGACCCTGCTCTGCATTTAATATGACCCTTTTTGCAAATTCAATTGACTGATTCACGGACTTGATTAAAGGGGTCATATGATGCGATTTCAATTTTTCCTTTCTCTTTGGAGTGTTACAAGCTCTTGGTGCATAAAGAAGATCTGTAAAGTTGCAAACACTAAAGTCTCAAAACCAAAGAGATATTCTTTATAAAAGTTAAGAGTTAACCACGCCTACCTAAAACGGCTCGTTCTAACATGCCCCCACATACCTACGTCACGATCTGGGAAGATTTGCATAACGCTGCCCAAATGTTCACGCAAAGAAAGAAGGCGTAACTTTTATTCTCACTGTAGTATTGTTGACGCTGCAGCCATGTCCTGAAGATGCTGTGTGCTTCGTTGTGAAAGCGAAACTACTTTGTTTGGTCTTCCAAAAGAGGACGATATCCGCTTCGTCATGCCTAGAGCTGATCTGTGCTGGTCGCTGAGGGAATACATCAACTTTCATCGTGGACGAAGCGGAGTCCAGCCCGCCTCAGCTCACTCTATCCAGGCCTCAGTGCAGGCTAAGCCGGGGCTTCCCCTCACGCTAGACCGCTGTGTTTTACGTTGCCACTGATGATTCAAACGCGAGTTTTGGGCAGTAGAGTAGCACTTGTTGTTTGTCATTTCTCCGATCACAAATGCAGACAGAGTTTTATGTTTACGCGGCGCGATGCAACGCAACGCGTAAAAAGACAGTATAAGTCATTATAATCAGTAATTATGTCCCCATTTGACAACAGAACATTAATCAACAAACATTAGTAATCAAACAGAAACAAAACAACATTTGTAGTCATAATGACAATTTCAAACAGCTCTTCCGCAAGCACTGCGTGAGCAAGAACAGTCCAAGTAGAAATTCAAATAAATAAATCAAATTTATTCAGTTTCCCTCCATTTGGTGGTTTTCACTGAGTCGATGTAAATGAGGCAGTTTGCAAGAGAGCTTGAAAAAGTAAAAGGAAATGAGCATGAGAGAGAGCTACAATCTCTTATCTCCTTTGTTTATGCATAGTACGATCTAAACTGACGTCTAAAGGCAATGAACCATACATACTTGAACTCTAAAGTACCATTTCTGTGCATAGTTGTAACAAAGACACACAAATCTTTGATCTACTTCAGCAGTGGAGTGCATAGATAGAGATAAAGTGAGAGATGGTAGTTCCTGAGAGGAGAGAAAGAGAGAAAAGAGGAGAGTGACGCGGCTGGCACAGCTATAGTAGTGTCTCCCACAAGCACAGCCAGTGTGACTTCAGATAAACGGCTCCTTCATATGAGGCAACACTAGATCATTCTCTCGGACTTCCCTTCGTGTGGATGAATGCGAGCATCTTCCTGTAGTGCTGCTCTCCATAAAGCTTCTCGGCGCTCCAGTGTTTCTCTTTTTCTCTGCCATTACTCCACATTGAGAGAGAAAGAGAGAGAGAATGTTCAGTTTCATCACTTCCTGGTGTCGTCTGCTTTCAGCCACGTCCCATCGTCGTCTACTTCCTTTTGGACGACAAGGAGCATTTCTGCAACATCCTGAGAAAGCTGCTCAGTGAGAAATGACCTGGGAGGAGGAAGAATGAAGAATCAATAAAAACAAAGATCATGATCTATTGGGTTTCATTCACTAATAATTGCACACAAGTGTCTCAAAACCAGTTATTGAATTTCTCATGTTAAAATCATTTTAGCTTACGTTAGTTAAGCAAGTTTAATTTGTATTTATCAGGGTCTATAAAAAAGTAAGGTTATGTTGAAACATGGTTTTATTAGTAATTATGAACAAATCACTTTTTAAGTGAGCCTTAAAAAATACAGCAAATCTAGTATAGTCTGATTCATGAATAAATGATTCTTATGAGCTGGTTCTTTTTTTAGTGAATCAGAATCATACAGCGCAACCTAAGCTGACCAATTCAAGAGCAAAAGACACAGTTTTTATGAATTGTAATGAATCATTTAAAGGCATATCATGAAAATCTTGACTTTTCCAGGTTTTAAGTGCTATAATCGGGTCCCCAGTGCATCTACCAACCAAGGAAACGTGAAAAAGATTAACCCAGTAACTTTGTTTTGGTAATCCTTTTTCTGCAAGTGTCTGAGAAAACGAGTGCGTCTGATTTCGCTCCCTTGGTGACGTGGCAAAGGGATCTCATTATAATATTACCACCCCTTAATCTGTAAAGTTTCAACTCATATGGTTTAAAACGCATGATTTCAGCGCGATACACGTGATAATCAGAACCAAAACAGATGTTTTTAGCAGGTACGAGCTGTAATGGCACAGCTCTATTCTGGAAAAGGGGGCGGGGAGCAGCAGCTCATTTGCATTTAAAGAGCCAGGCCCGTGTTTTTGCTTCCACTCAAAATAGGCATTTTCAAAATGATATAATAAATGATCTGTGGAGTATTTTTGAGCTGAAACTTCACAGACACATTCTGGGGACACCAGAGACTTATATTACATATTGTAAAAAGTGGCATAATATGTCTCCTTTAAAAAGACAAACTCATAAGTAATCATTTAATCCATCTGATGAATCTTTCACTGAATAAACAGTTTTACACTAATGTTATTTTGGAATTATTATATAGTGTTACAGTTTTCATTAAAGGGGTCATATGATGCGATTTCAATTTTTCCTTTCTCTTTGGAGTGTTACAAGCTCTTGGTGCATAAAGAAGATCTGTAAAGTTGCAAAGACTAAAGTCTCAAATCCAAAGAGATATTCTTTATAAAAGTTAAGAGTCAACCACGCCTACCTAAAACGGCTCGTTCTAACACACCCCACATACCTACGTCACTATCTGGGAAGATTTGCATAACGCCACCCAAATGTTCACACAAAGAAAGAAGGCGTAACTTTTATTCACGTTGTAGTATTGTTGTTGCCGCCGCCATGTCGTGAAGGCGCTGTGTGTTT